TCTCTCTCTCTCTCTCTCTCTCTCTCTCTCTCTCTCTCTCTCTCTCTCTCTCTCTCTCTCTCTCTTTTTCATTGCCTCTCTCTCTCTCTCTCTCTCTCTTTTTCCCTCTCCCTCTCATTCTGCCCTCTTCTTCTCTGTCTCTCTGTCTCTAGCGCACTCTGAGAGAGATGGGAGAGAGGAGAGAGAGACAGAGAGAGAGAGAGAGAGAGAAAACACTTAAAACTCTTTTACCATATCATTGAGACATTTCATTACCGTCCATCCATCCATTCATGCACGTCATTGTGTGGGCAAGACTTCTCCACCCCTCCCCCTCCTCCTTCCCCTCCTTCCCCCTCCTCCCCTTCTTTCCCCAGACACAATCGGCTGTGGATTGCAAGGAGTCATGAGTCACTGCCACACTCTGGTGGCAAGTGGACGCGTAATTCATTGAATCATCCATGCGGTCACGATCCCCGATGACGATCATGATGATGATGATGATGATGATGATGATGATGATGATGATGATGATGATGATGATGACGACGATGGTGATGATGATGATGATGACGATGACGATGACGATGACGATGATTATGGTGATGATGACGATGACGATGACAGTGATGATGATGATGATGATGATGACGATCATGATGATGATGACGATGATGATGAGCAGTGCAACAGAATCCGCCATGCACCGGTTGATTAATCGCATCTCCTCTGTCTTAATTAGTAATTAATGAGGACGAGACGCATCTGGGAATCTGTGTCTGTCAATGATGCGATGTGGAACACGGATTGCATGCGCCGTGCGTTCAGGACAAATGATGATCTAGCCAAGGTTCTCTCTCTATCTCCTCTCTCCCATCACTCTCTTTCTTCTCTCTTCTTTCTTCTTCTCTCTCTCTCTCTCTTTCTCTCCTCTCTTCTCTCTCTCTCCTTCTCTCTCTCTCTCTCTCTCTCTCCCCGCCTCTCCCTCTCTCTTCTCTTGCTCTCTCTCCCCTTCTCTCCTGTCTCCCTCTCTTTCTCTCTCTCTCTCTTCTCTCTCTCTCTCTCTCTCTCTCTTTCTCTCTCTATCTCTCAGACACACACACTCGGGCATGCAGGACATGCGGTGATCCAGCCCAGATTCTAGCCCCGCTGATTCTGATCGCGACCTGGCTTCATAGCTGGATCTGAATCGATGAAATGCGCATCAGTCAGGATTTGGAGAATGAGAGGATACATTGATTGGCAACCGTTTTCCCACGAGACAGCATTTGGAGACGACCACCGATCTTACATTAATTAGTTCGTTCTTTTGCTGATGCTAAAACCCGGTCCCGGGCCAGGCTGGCCCTTAAAACCACGGTCCCTGGCCCTTAAAACCACAGTCCCTGGCCTTTAAAACCACGGTCCCTGGCCATTAAAACCACGGTCCCTGGCCTTTAAAACCACAGTTCTTCCCATTCTAGAGTGCCTTCCTAGCTGGGCGTTGTATACACTACAAAACTGCAACAGATTGGAATCTATTCAGCATAAGGCCGCAAGATGGGTCGCAAAATACTACAATGCCAGTTCTGAAAACGTTCTCCATGATCTCGACTGGCCTCGCTCTTTATGCTTGTTTTCTCTATACATAACTCATCAGCTACAAGTACAAGGTTTATCACGGCCACGTTATGACTGTTATCCCATCTTGCTTGATATCTTATAACGAATCTTATATCTTGAACACGTTATAACTGTTATCGGCATACTCTTCCCTCGCAATCTACATCTCGTTGTCGCAATATGGGCTAACGCTCCATTAGGAGTGTTCCCAACTTTGATATCATTAATGATTAATGATTAATGATTAATGATTGATAACCCTAACCCTAACCCTAACCCTAACCCTAACCTAAATGACATTAAACCACAAACTAATATATGACCATGAACATATATATATATATATATGTTATTATGACCATTAATGACATTAAAGTTGGGAACACTCCTAATGGAGTATCACCCGCAATATAGAACTGTGACTGTGGGTTTCGCATCACTACACTCGGTCATCTGCCTCCGACGATTGTTTCCGCCATGTCTCATCCTCAAAAAAACCCATTCAAACTTAGTTTCTTTGTTTCAGTAATTAATCACTGGAACTCGCTCCCATCATCTATAGTAAACTGAGAGATTAAAATCTTCTCTGCTGCTGTTCGCAGGGTCGACCCAGCAATCTAATCGACGTCAATCTGCTTCTTCGTTATAGTTCTTTGTATGATGAGGAGTCACCATCACGAGATTACTAGTGACGTACTGTGATTATCCTGGTGCAGACTGATAAGGCGTTATCGGCACCAATCTATATATAATAATAACTGCATAGTTAATAAGCTGGCGCAAACTTTGCGAGAAATTTTCGTTAGGTGATCACTCGTTGGGAAGTGGAAGCACACAGCGCCATCTGTCGAGTGAAAATGTATATATGTTATATAGATAGTTGCCGGCTGTCGCGTTTCGTGGCAGTGCATTATAATCTAATTGTAATTTGTAGTTGATATTTATTTGATAAAGCAATTGATACTTGATCGATAGTGAATAGTCGCATCGACACCTCGTTAAAATATCTTATCGAAATCTTCTGTTGAATTGTTTGTTGCTATGGTGTAACGACGTCCTATTGTTTTTCATCGACATACCATTAGTAAACGAGACAAAGTATTAGTAACTGTAAATGCTGTGCTGATCTACTGCATTCACTACACTTCACTATGTTTCATGGTTTGACCGTGCATGCAGTTGTAATCGTTAGCAGGGGGTTGAAAATAACATGTTTTCCACTATTTGGGGGCAGGCACATCTGCTGCTAGAAAAGTAAAGGTAACCCTATATTTTCCTCTCTATTGGTGGAAAAGATTTTGAAGACGTTTCCATCACTCATTCACTCGGTATTTTGCTGGTTACGCTATGCAAGTCTCTAACAGAGGTTTTTTCTATACCACTTTATGCGAAAAAACAAAAATTATGTGATAGGTAATCGGTAGTTAGTACAGGTGACGAACAGTGAGATGAATCGCGAATCCCTACTCTCCTCCGCACAGGTGAAGCCGATGTGTGAGAACGGTCTGCCTCCCATCGCCAACGGCAACGGCAACGCGGTGACGAATGGTGGCGGAAGAGGGATGTTCAGCAGTGTTCCGCTCTACATCTCGGAGAAGTTCTCCATCGGCAAGCTGATCGGGGACGGCAACTTTGCGGTAGTGCGGCAGGCTGTCGATAGGTGGGTCTGTGTCTATGTCTCTATCTCTCTCTCTCTCTCTCTCTCTCTCTCTCTCTCTCTCTCTCTCTCTCTCTCTCTGGGCTGCCTTGTGTGGGGCAGGGCGGGGCTGGGTGTGGTGGGTGGGTGCCAACAGGGCAAATTACGTGTCGCATAGATAGGGAACGACGTGGGATGTGACATGAGTCGTCGGTCGGTCAGCTCGGCTGGACTCAGCTCTCACACACACACTAGTCTGCTGTTGCTACCTAGCATGGTAGAGCCCTGGTCGGGGGACCGTTGTCGGCAAGCATTTAGTCGTAATATTAGCAGTGTCATAAATAATATTATAGACTATATTATGACACTCCTCCTGGTGGTGATATTAGCCTTGCTGCACGCGTTGTCAGACACATCGTACATAGTTTATGTAAGCATGAGTCTAAAATCACGTAAATTTCAATGTGTAACATCTTGCATACAAGTTATTAATGTTATGTCGAGCATAACTTACGACATTTGATAGTTATGATAGTTCTATTACGTGTTATGTTTCTCAAAATTGGCTTTTTATTCGTAACCTTTCCCGTGTGTTGTGAAGAGTACTAATCACAGTAAAGATACGATGTTTTTAACAACGCCCCCTGGGGGCTGTTTGTTTATCATACAGTACGATCTGAAATGGATATTTCCACAGATTTTTGTTCTACCGAACAAATTCTCGTGGTGGCTGGGTTTATACGGCTTGGCATATTTTGAGAATTTTAGCAATTTAAACGCGGCTGCTATGACAGCGTTTATCTGGTTATGGCGGCTATCGCTTCGTAGCTCATGCCATTCCTCAATCAATGTCATTGCTTGCTTCGTGTTAGTGTTAGTGTGGATGTGGAGACCTGGGTCAGTGTATTTATCCTGTGTTGTCCTGTGTGTGTGTGGTGACAGCGGGAGGATCAAGTTACAAGGAAGCCTGCCAGCCACGTTGTTATGCTAAGGTTCATCCATACATGCTTTCCTCATGCTTCCTTTCTCCTGCCACCTCCCTTTACCCCCTCCACTCCCTTCCTTCCGCACTCTCTTCCTCCCTTTCCATCCTTCCTTTTCCTTCCTCCCTTCTTCCCTTCGCTATCCAGCCTCATCCATATAGATATTCTTCCTCTATCCTACCTCCTCCTTCCTCCCTCTTCCCCCGTCCTTCATCATTCCTCTCTCCTCCTCCCTCTTCCACCCTCTTTTGTACTCAATTCTCTTTGGCTTCTCTTCACTTATCCTTCTCCATGGGAACTCCACCCTCCCATATATATAGAAGCTGAAAATCAATACGACTAGTAATTTAAAATTGCTCGCACGCGGGCTTTGGGTGGCGGCAGCGGCAGCGGCAGCGGCAGCGGCAGCAGCGATGGCAGTGTGTGCCTAGTACGGGGTGATACTCCATTAGGAGTGTTCCAAACTTTAATGTCATTAATGGTCATAATAACACACATATATATATATGGTCATAGTCATATATTAGTTTGTGGTTTAATGTCATTTAGGTTAGGGTTAGGGTTAGGGTTAGGATTATCAATCATTAATCATTAATCATTAATAATTAATGATATCAAAGTTGGGAACACTCCTAATGTGCGTACCAGAGGTCGAAGAGGGGATGGGGGTGGGGGTTGCAGGCAGGAGGTTATTGGCAGGGGTCGAGGTGAGGGGGTTCCCAGGCCAAAAGTCGTTATTGGCTATTGATCTAGTGTGGGGGTTGCGTACCACAGCTCGAGGAGGGGATGGGGTGGGGGTCGGGGGCCAGAGGTCAAGGAGGGGATGCAGTGTGGTGGTCGGGGGCTAGAGGTCGTGGGTGGATGCCCGCACACCTACACGCGCGTGCACGCTCCTCACATCCTGTCTTCATTTCCACCAGCGCTAGTGCTGATTAAAAGTAAACAGAGACCGAAATAGATCTTGTGGCGACGGCGGCTGCCTCTTTTCGGAGTTTTGCGCGCAGGAAACCGTTTCCATGGCAACGAGGCACGCGAAAAGCGCAGTCTGCCTTCCGCTGTGAAAGGCGGCGGCGTCATTTGAAAGCTGTTCATTTGTTTCTGTGCCGGCGGTCACTCGCCTGCGTACCGACCATGTCGTGTAATCAGGAATGCATAATATATTATATAATATATTAGTATACAAATTA